CACACACACACATATATATATATATATATATATATATATATATATATATATATATATATATATATATATATATATATATATTGAGAGAGAGGGATGTTTGTGTAGATATATTAACATACTATTTATTTAAACATTGTTGTAATTGAGTGCTTTTATTAGGGCTTGAAGGCATAGTTCACCCAAAAATGTAAATTCTGTCATCTTTTGCTTACCATGCTGTTAAATAGTGACATAATTTAAATTTTTTGTGTCAACTTTCTCTTTAACTGCCATTGTGTTTGTATTGGTGTGTTGCAGGAGTGGAAGTGTATCTGGACTGACCCTTAAACTGATCCGAACCTCTGTCAGTGAAATGCTGGAGACACTTTCTGATGATGATTATGTCAATGTTGTCCATGTAAGTAGGATCACATGCTGTGTGCACACCGCAGATTTTTGATTCGACAACCGTAGGACTCATTCCGGTTTCTGCAATGGTTTACAAAGTAACATTGCATTTTCTCATTCTGCTTTTCACATACATTCCCATACTTTTCCGAGCAATTCTGGAACATTGTTTTGCAGCAGTAGTTTTTCTAGGATGAGTCGCTTTTGTTGTAATATTCCTAATTTGTAATTCATACTTTGGATAGCGCCCCTTTTTGGATCTGCTAAATGAGTAGCCTACATGTGAATAGCGATACTGGTAGCAACATTTTGGCATCTCGACACATTAAACGCGCTCTCAAGTTCTTTTGACAAAGGTGTTGTTTGTTTTCTTTAAAGTTGTCAAAGGAATAGTTCACTCAAAAATAAAATGTACTCGCTCTTAGGCCATCCACGATGTAGATGAGTTTGTTTCTTTATCAGAACAGATTTGGAGAAATGTAACATTACATCACTTGCTCACCAGTGGATCCTCTGCAGTGAATGGGTGCCGTCAGAATGAGAGTCCAAACAGCTGATAAAAACATCACAATAATCCACAAGTAATCCACACCACTCCAGTCCACCAATTAACATCTTGTGAAGTGAAACACTGTGTGTTTGTAATAAATATATCTGTCATTAAGATGTTTTTTAACTTTAAACTGTTGCTTCCGGCTGTCCATAATATTGCTTTCTCCTGTGAAAAATTGTCTCGTCTGAATCAGGAGAGAAATATGCACAAATCAAACATATTTACAAGAGAAAATAATCCAAAACAGTTCTAAACAAATATACTGGTGGATTTTGATGTGAGAGGACACATCACATTTACTGGAGGAAGCGTTATTATATAGATTATGGAGCTTTAACTTTAAATAAGTGATGGCTCTAATGATGGATTTGTTTCTTATAAACACACAGCTTTTCACTTCACAATACATTAATTGATGGACTGGAGTCATGTGGTTTATTTGTGGGTTACTGTGATGCTTTTATCAGCTGTTTGGACTCTAATTCTGACGGCACCCATTCACTGCAGAGGATTCAAAGGCAAGTGATGCAATGCAAATGTTCTCCAAATCTGTTCCGATGAAGAAACAATCTCATGTGCATCATGGATGGTCTGAGAGTACTTTTTTTTTTTTTTTGATGGAAGATTCCTTGAACAAATTGATAATTTGTTATCATTTGCTTACCCTCATATAGTTTAAAGCCCATGTGAAGTTCATTCTTCAATAAAGATGCATTTCATTTGAGCTGTCAGTATCCAAAAAAGTGTAACTTCACTGCATTAGCAACTATGTGGATCTAATAAAAGTTGTATTTCACTACTCAAAGTTTTGAGGGTTGCAGAAAGTGCTTATCACTTCCATAAAAAAGAAAAAATGTGTGTAAATAACAAACTGTGTGTGTACAGAATGGGATTAATCGCTCAGAAAAGTGTGACAAGCGTATTTAGCTGCAGCTGTACAGTAAAAATGGAACAAGACATTGTTACTCGGAATTCAATTTAAAGTGAGGAGTTTCTAGAGCTTGTGGGTTGCAGGTTGCTGTGTGATGCAACAACAGTATGTGTGTGTGAGACAGAGAAAGAGAGAGAGAGAGAGACAGAGGAGTTGTAATGAAATATGGATCTGGCTGCAGCTTGCCACTTGAAAACAGGCGCTTAATGAAAAGGATGCTTCTGGGCTCCGTGTGCTGAATTGAAAATGGCTGGACAACGTGAGGGGAAGAGATCAGGTTGAGTGAGAAAGAGAAGGCCAGAGAAAGAGGGAGGAAATTGCTATACATCATTCCTCTTGGAAGGAGCCTCTAATCCATCTTGGCTAGCTGATCTTTTACTCGGGTGCTGCCAGTTTTGTTCTCAAATTGTCCTCTGACCAAAGAAGCTCACAGGATGCTCATGTCTAAACCTGACATGTATGTTGTAGGGGTCATTATTTCTTAAAAGAGTAGTTCAACCAATAATGAAAATTTGCACTCATGATGTTCCAAACCTGAAGTGATTTTTTGAAGTAAATTACCTTGTCATAAAAGTAGCACATATGCTGTATTCCAAGTGTTATAGACATATGAGAAATGCAAGTTGAAAATCTTGACATCAGGCCTAGCTGATAAATGATTCATTTGAGTCATATCATTAAATGACTCTGATTCTTTCACATAATTGGATTTATTCACAAATCGCACTGATCTGTTTCTTGGACCGCTCACTTTAGGAGAAAAGTACTGTGAATAATAACTTGAAATATGTTTGTATGAATTCAAAAGACTTGGAATATAGTGCCTTTGCCGTATGGACCACTTTTATGATGCTTTTATGTTGCTTTTGTGTCCTTAAGCTTGAAAGTTTCAGTCCCCATTTCTTGTAACTGTATGAAAAATAATTTTTAAAAAAGTCATACAGGTTTGAAATGAACAATCACACTCTTTGTTTTTGTACTTGCCTCAAAAACCATACTTGGTATCCCACATTTTTTAATCTTCAGTGAATAAAGTTTGATTTATTTATTGTTTTCACTTCTCAGAGGGTTTTGAGGTTTTCTTGCATTGGAGAATCACTGTTCCGATAAAGGATTAGCTCTGTGAGATCTGTCAAATGGATTTGCTTCAGGGAACGTATGCCAATGAGAGTGTAGCGTTTTGTTATGTGTGTGAGTGTGCTTGGGTGTATTTGAGCGCGAATGCATCAGCTGGATACCCAAAGATCAAATTTTGGAGTGTGTGTTTGTACAGATCAGTAGTTTGAGAGCATCTGTGGTACTGTAGTTTTAAATAAAAGGGCTTTGTGGGCATTGTGTTGGTTGAATTTATAAATCTATAATATGGTTGTGCTTTTATAGACAGTTGATCGCCACCAGTATAAATATAGCATGTGCTATAAATATGGTAGCTATTTAGTTTATGAATGAGGAAAGTGAGGAGGATTATGATCAATAAACGGTTTTATGGCTTTAGCAATGCAAGACAAATAAAATATCTAATAATTTCAGTTGCAATTAAGCTTCCTTCATGAGCATTTTATACATTTTGCTTGATAAACAAAGCCAACCCCTTCTTTTGCAAGAGATATTATGCATTCCTGTCAAGTCATAGTGAAGAACAAGACTTGGAATAAAAATATATTGTAATACAGGCTGCGTTTGAAATTTAATACTAGTGTGCTGCTTACTGCATACAGTACATATGTATGCACAACATATGCCTGTTGTGGGTGTGTGCTGCAATCTCTTTCTTCTCGCATATTAAAATAATTTCAATTTAAAAACAAAATAAAATCAATATTTTATTTTAATTTACTATTTAAGTTGAACATATTCTAAATGTTTGTGAGAAGAAAAAAGTGAAATGTATCACCTGCCTTGATTGTGGCATAATATTTCAGTATTTTAATATAAATATAAATTACAAATATTTTAGCTTGGGATTATGCATCATAGTTAAGGTTGTAAATATTTGCTCTGATAATAATCAAATTAAATTACAATTATCTAATAAACAATGCAATGCGTCATGAAATGTGATTTTTAAAAAATTGTTATGCTTATTAAATGGCTGCTTAATAAATTAAAATAAAATATTGATTTAATTGTGTGAGTAACCATGCAATATGTATTTATTCTGCATAGTCCTGAATTAAAATATTTTATTTATATTTATACTGAAATATTTTTGTTTAAAAATTTTTAAATATCGAAACAGTTAAAATTGAAACAAATTGTTATCAGAGGAAATATTTTTACCCTTAATTATGTGCATATTTTTACCCTTAATTTAAAAGTGGATATTTATTTTACTGTAAATGCTAGTTAATGTTATTAAATTGGATTAAAACCTGAAAAACCTTGTTACGCTTTTGGCGTTCCCGGCGGTCAAAAATGAACGGCCTACAAAAAGTTGCTCATAAATTTGTCCTCATTGTTCGGAGCTTCTGCACCTCAGTTTTTGAGTGAACTTTGTCAAAATTATCCACAAATAATGCTTATTTCACTCAAAAACTGAGGTGCAGAAGCTCAGATTAACAAGGCCTGTGATTAATCAGTTTTTAAAAAAAAGTGTTAAAGGCACAATATGTAATTTTTCACCACTAGAGGGCGCGTATTCAAAATAAACAAAGAGACAAATGCGTAGTTTGATGACGCCGTGACTGAGTGTGGAATCATGGGAGTTGTCGTCTTCATCCCCACAGCCGATGCAATCCGACGGGACTCGGGCAGAAATCATGTTCATGGATGAGATAATGATTTATTAACGTAGTAGAATGAAGCAGGTTGAGGCTGAAAGCTGTCGAAGCGAAACGAGGCCGCTGAATGAGCGTGACACACGGCTCGAAAGCAGCGGAGCTTTTATTATGCCACAGTCGACCGCTTCCGCTCCTTCCGGTCGTATGTATGTGGGGGAAAAAAAGCAGTGCTGTTTTATCATACTAGATACATTTGAAGGTTCTGTTATAATGCTACTCTGTGTGGTCGTCACCGGTCTATTAAAACGCACAACATATTAAAGCGTCTTTGGTGTTTCCATGTTTTCTACATGGAAATCGAGGGGTTATGACGTCATTGGCAGGCGACACAATGACACTATGGACACGGTCCGTGTCACTAGTTAAAATTGCTTATATCTCTGGATTTAAACATTCTTCGAAACATTTGGGATAATGTAAGTACACAAGTCGGCAAAATACACTGAAACACTGTCTTAGTGGTTTTTGGATATTTTAATAAAAAAATCTTACATATTGTGCATATGGAATGAAAACAAGTTGACAAAAAGATTGAATCTGAGATTTGGTGATAATATAGCATGATGAGAGATTTACAATCGTTTTTACATCAAATTAGGAAACACAAAATTAGATAAAGGAAAAAAAAATCTAAATGAAAAAAAATCTAATTAAAAATTGGTTTAATTTTGTAAGTATACTCTTAAAAATAAAGGTGCTTCACGATGCCATAGAAGAACCTTTTTGTCTAAATGGTTCCAAAAAGAACCTTTAACATCTGAAGAACCTTTCTGTTTCACTAAAGGTTCTTTGTGGCGAAAGAAGGTTCTTCAGATTATAAAGAGGTAAGAAAGAGATGGTTCTTTAAAGAACCTTTGACTGAATGGTTCTTTGTGGAACCAAAAATGGTTCTTCTATGGCATCGCTTGAAGAACCGTTTGAAGCACCTTTATTTTTAAGAGTGTATCCAAGTTCTAGGTGGGACAATGCATGGTCAGCTGGTCATTATTGACTCCAACAGACACGTTTGAGGTCATACAAGACCCTTCTGCTCCATATTGGGGTCCCAATAAATACTGTTACTATTTTTATTTCACCATAGGCCTTTTCGAAGAAGCAACTGAGGAAGTTTTAATACTTGAAGCATAATTGAAAACTCTTTTAATTCCCATGAGCAATAAAACGTTCCTCTGGGGAGAGACGTGACACGACAGAACTAGAACGTTCTGGTTATAATCAACGAAGCCGTCTACACCGCGAGTGCGCGCCGTCTGCTGTGTGTAGGGGTCTGTGTATCATCAATGTGTCCTATTCCTCTATTTATAACCTGCCATATGCTGAGAGCAGTGAGTCACGGGGGCCTCCGTGGCGATAATTCAGAGCGTTAATTAAATATTCAGTCAATGCTAGAGCGACTAATCGAACCGTGACTCATCGGTTCATTCAGCAGAGACTGTGACATCCAGCTCATTCAACAGAGCACAGACACCCGATCCCACAGATACATCATTGACCGGCGCATGTGTCCTAATCAAGCACACGTCTCTCAGTGTCCGGCCAGAAATTCAAAGTCGGGAAGCCTTTTGAGTCGACATGAATGGAAAAATAAGCACTGGATCATGAAAAATAGATGAAAAGCTGCACTATGGTAAACACGGGAGGTTTGAAGGTGTGTTCTGCTTGCACTTGCCACAGGAAGTGCATCATGTGCTTTCGCATGTCCTCAGGGAGAGCTGGAGATATAGTAATCATTTAAATTTTTGCATGAGCTTGCACATACCACCTCATTAGCTGTAATGGTGCCGTAATTGACTTGCACCTGTTAATCATTCAGACTTTTCCCATTGTTGGGGTTATAGGAGGCGCCGTCCCTGGGTAAGGTACAAATTGGTGTCCAATTAAGCATCAGAGGAACCTTTTTTTGTAGAAAGAACTGTTTGATGTATTAAATAAACTATTAACTAACTTACAATTATCCTAGCATGAAATGAAACTAGTTTTAAACACAGGCAGTGTCTTTTCTCCCCCTTTAAAATGGTGAAACTATAGTTTTAACTACCAAAAACTTGATTTATTATTTTATGGTTTTTATTATTTTTACTCTCTCTAGCCAACTTTTTTTTCCTTTAGTAGAAATAAAATACAAAAAAAAAAAAGCTATATATATATATATATATATACACAATATATACAGTCCACTGAAAATAGTGTCATCATTTTGAAATATTATCCTAGCATGAAATGAAACTAGTTTTAAACACAGGCAGTGTCTTTTCTCCCCCTTTAAAATGGTGAAACTATAGTTTTAACTGCCAAAAACTTGATTTATTATTTTATGGTTTTTATTATTTTTACTCTCTCTAGCCAACTTTTTTTTCCTTTAGTAGAAATAAAATACAAAAAAAAAAAAGCTATATATATATATATATATACACAATATATACAGTCCACTGAAAATAGTGTCATCATTTTGAAATAAAATTTAGAATTAATATTCTGTTAAATTACAATATTATATACAATATAATGTTTATTATTTAAAAAAAGCTAATTTTAATTGACCAAAACATTTTATTATATAGTATTTGATGATTCACTCTCACAACCAATTTCTTTTTTAATTTATTATTATCAATAACTAAATAAAAAAGGACTATTTGGGCATTGCTCTTGTCAGAGATTTTTAGCTTCTTGAATATATATCCATCCATTTAAAACTGTTTCCTGATTTTTATATAATCTGCAGAATTGGTATTCAATTACATTTTAGTAAAAAAAAAAAAAAAGTTAAATGTTTTGCCAAATATATTTTTTTATTATTATTTTGTTATCTTTATTATTTCTCTCTCAACTAACTAACATTTTTTTTTATTGGAAATATGTTTATTAATAACTAAATTAAATAACATTTGGTCCCTAACTACCCCCTATGTTTAGTTTTGTTTTGGGGTACATCTATTATATATCTATAGCTATTTAAATTTGATTATTTTAAAATAAATTCATTAAAATAAATAGAAAATAAAATTGCTCATGTAGTATAGATTTTAAGCGACTTCATTTTAAAGATTTTTTACCTTGTTTGTGGATTATTAGAGTCTGCAGTATACTATTTTTCCTTCTTTTTCCTCCCACATTCATTCTCCCTTTTTTTCTCTTTCCTTCCTCTACTCAAGTCTATTTTCTTGTTCTCAATCTCTCAAGCTTTGAAGTAACAGGTTCACAGGGGTCAGCCGCAATAAGTGACAGAACACAGAGAGCCCTATCTGAACAGAAAATTAGAAACTTGTAAGGGTATCCAGCTTGTCAGCTCAAATTATTTTCATCACTGTACCCCAACACATGCAGAGATTCTGACCCCAGTATAGAGATCTTTTAAGTCACACATGCTTTTGTTGTGATTCTAAAAAAATCTTGCTGTGATTCCTGTGAATGAACAATGAGAAGTCCAATGATTTTTCACTTACTGTATGCCTCTCTCTCCTCTTTTTCAGTTTAACACAAAAGTGAATAACACGGCATGTTTCGACCACCTGGTTCAAGCTAACGTTCGCAATAAGAAGATCTTAAAAGATGCAGTGCAGAACATCACAGCCAAGGGCATCACCAACTACACCAAAGGCTTCGAATTTGCCTTCAATCAGCTGTCAAATGTATGAGTTTTTGGGAGATTTTATATTGAAAATGTATCTATAAAAGTATGGTCTTTCATCTCAGTCCCCAGCAGCCTTAAAATCTTCACTTTGTGTGATTTCTCTTCATGTTGGCTGAAAAGAATGTCTGTAATAATGTATAAGCTTATTTCACTCTGCATCCTCTTTTTAAAATACTGTAAAGTCTGAGAAGTACAGTTTAAATATGATCTTTCCCTTCAGTCACTGATGGATTCAATCATAACAAGCTTGACTTAAGGCAAGAAATATTCTACTTAAGCCACAAGTAGGAGGCTGAAATCCTGGAATCACTTCTGCTTAGTAATATTTGTTTACCAAAAGGTTCAAAGTAGCATTGTTGTGTTCTGCTGACTTCTGCTGGTCGTTCTGTGTAACTGCATCTGATTGTGCTTATTTCAGCCAAACATCACCAGAGCTAACTGCAACAAGATCATAATGCTGTTTACTGATGGAGGCGAGGAGAGAGCAGAGGAGGTCTTCAGCAGATACAACATTGACAAAAAGGTGTGTGTGAAACTGGATTTGAGTTTGTAATGAATCATATTTAACTAACACCAACATTTTGTGACTATTACAAAAACATGTCTAGGTTACATTTCAAACAATTTAATTTGAAATCAAGTTGATTACTACAGTATTGTGAAGATTGATTGATGGATGGATGGATTGACTGACAAACATTTTTCTTTGGGGAAATCGAGCTCACATTCTCGTAATGTTTCTAATTCTCGTAATGTTTATAAATCTTTCCAAAGTTTTTTTTTCCTTCTCTATATTTGTTCTCATTAATATGTTACAGACTTTTCCACTGTACAAAACAAATTATGAATATAAAACTATAGTGCAGAAAGTTGTTTTAAAATTCTGAATTATTTATAAGCCTTTTGAATTACGGGGACACTGAAAATGTCCTCATAAATCACCTTCTCGTTGTAATACCTATGTCATACCCATGTTATTATACAAATGTGTGTCCTCATAAACCACGTAAACATGCACGCACACACACACACACACACACACACACACACACACACACACATATATATATATATAAATATATATATATAAGGAATGAAATATAGTAGGTCCTATAAACAGGTTTCATATGATAACCTTTAGGGGTGCCAATAATTTTATGTTTTTAAAAGAGTACACTATTCTTATAATGAAGCAGCACTTTTGTAGGGATGGTTGGTTGGAATTGGTACTAAATAAATCATAAGCAATTTCTCAAAAACATTTAAATGAAGATTTCAATTATTATATGGAGTGTTTATTTTATTCTGCGTTATATTTGCACACAATATTTTATAATTATTTACACACATTTTATAACACATTATAGTACTTTTTTTGAGGGGTGCCAATAATATTCATTCATTCATTCATTTTATTTTTTGTTTGATCTTTTTGGCATAATACAATTACGGTGCTCTGAATTTGAATACTATTCTGTTGGAGTATAGGTGCGTGTGTTCACTTTCTCTGTGGGTCAACATAACTATGACACCTGGCCAATAAAGTGGATGGCCTGTGCTAATAAGGGTAAGTATTGCTCAGTCTGTTTTTGCCCCCTAGTGACAGTAGCACAAAAATAATTCTTACATCTCACAGCCTCTTTAGCAGATTCACCACTGGATTGCTAAAAAATAAATATATGAAATATGATAATCCATATGATATGTTTTCTAGGATATTTCTATGAAATCCCATCCATTGGAGCCATTCGCATAAACACACAGGTCTGTATAGTGCCAACGTGTTTCAAATGTGACTCATTTGGTTCGATAGTTGTTTAGAAGTATGTGAAGGTCCAAGGATGACCACTCATTGATTGCATCGTGTTGTTCACTGTTGCATAGGAGTATCTAGATGTTTTGGGCAGGTCAATGGTCCTTGCAGATGCCAAACAAGTGCAGTGGACCAACGTTTATCTGGACGCTCTGGTACAGCCCCTTTTTTAATAAACATCACAGAAATTGTGAAAGTGCATAGTGTTTGATTGATTTTGTGTTCTCTTCATGACCTTAGGAGTTGGGCCTAGTCATCACAGGCACGCTACCCGTGTTCAACAAGACCAAATCCAGGAAGGGCGGATCTCGAAACCAGGTCAGGTCATTGTTTATCTTGATTTTCCAGTTGATTTCCCAAGATACAAATTTGGATACCCTCACAAATTCTTTCTTTGTACAGTATTACCTTTCACAAAATAAAATTTAAATAAAATACAATTACTTCCCTAACTTCCAATCCAAAAACAATCAATAAACAAGGTTCCAACAAAAATGGCGTTGGTCTCCCCACCTCCCCAGAATATTATTATATACAATTATTTATAATGATAAGCGAACAGATCCAAACAGGGGCAATCCAGAATCATTGTCAAAGAACAGGCGGAAGTCAGTAGAAAGAATAAATGGGCAAAGCAAACTAACAAACCATCTCTCACCAGTGAACACTCAATTGAACACACACAGAAACTCTCAGTCTTACTAACACATGTAACTTAACTAGCAGAGCAAACACAGCAAGAGAGCACAAAAGCTGCAGCAGGAAGTGATGACGGAGTCTCTTATAAGCTGTGTCTCATTTAGAAGGCTGCACCCTCCGGAGGTCGAATCCTCTGGAGGTCGCATCCTCTGTAGGATGCATATAGGAAGTGTCCTCAACCTAGAATTAAACAAGACGGCCTTTGTAGGACAGGCGGAAAAGGAAACCGGAAGTATCGCGTTGCTATGCCAACACATTTAGAGCATCGTTGCGCTCACACACTACTTAAATGAAGGAAAATTATTTTTAAATTTGGAAAGTAATTTGAAAAAAAAAAAGGTTTTACTTGTTTTATTTTGTTCAATGTTTGAGGAGCTGCAGCGTACCTACAGTAGGCATCTATTAGAGAAAAAAAGGAGGAGGATATTAAAAACAAAGTTTATCCGTTTTTACCGAGGCGAATTAAGGTAAGTTGTAAACACCACATCTGCGCTTGTGTGTACATCTGCCGGCGCCTGCATTTTTCAAATTAACAACGGTTGTTCACGGCGACGCAAAGAATTGTGGGTTATCTGTAGCAGCGAAGGATACACCTCATGCATCCTCCGAATTCCTGTGAAAGAAGGTCGCATTCGAAGGTCGCCTTCGGAGTGTCCTACTTGCTTTTCTGAAACGAGACAGCCTCGATGACGTATGCAGCCTTCGAATGCGACCTCCGGAGGACGCAGCCTTCTAAATGAGACACAGCTATAGGCAGCAAGAAGTCAGCTAATCAGGCAGGGTGTGGCACCAATTAGACTGCAGGAACCAATCAGCTTCTTCCTGGACAGAAGATGCACACAAACACTTCCCAAACAGAAGAAAACACAGAAGTAGAACAAAAGGAACGTAACATTTGTATGAAAGTGAAATAATTAAGGCTGTGGAATGGGAATCATGTAATGACTGAAAAATCTAAACATTTCAGCTACTTCAGAGTAAAACGGGTGACCAAACAGGACATCAGTTTATACATAAATTATAGATATATTAAATCCACATACACTACCATTCAAGTGTTTAAGGTTGGTGAGATTTTTTTTTTCTACGTTTTTGAAAGAAGTCTAATATATTGCCCATTTATTTGATGAAAAATACAGTAAAAACAGTAATTTTGTGAAATATTATTACAATTTAAAATAAAAAAAAATGTTCTATATAAGCCCTTTTCCACCGCTGAATACAAATAAAAAAGATAATTGCAAAAGTTTTTATCTCACAATTCAGACTTTGTTTTTTTCTCACTCACAATTCTCACAATTGCTAGTTATAAAGTCAATTCTGAGGGGGGAAAAGTCTGTGTTCACAGAGTTGCGAGTTTATCTCACAACTGACTTTTGCGTTTTTACAAGAAAAAAAATCAGAATTGTGAGTTTATATCACGCGATTTTGAGAAAAAAGTCAGAAATGTGAAAAAAAAGTCAGAATTGTGAGATAAAAAGTCACAATTACCTTTTTTAAATTGATCTATTCAGTGACAGAAACGGGCTTCCATAGTTTTTTATTATGATATATTTTAAAAAGTAATTTGTTCCTGTGATGGCAAAGCTGAATTTTCAGTAGCCATTATTCCAATCTTCTGTGCCACATGATCCTTCTGAAATTATTCCAATATGTTGATTTGGTGTTATTAATTATCAATTTTTTTAATATACAATTTATTTATTTACTTTCTTTTTTTTATTATTAATTTTTATAATTTTTTGCTGAATAAGTATTCATTTCTTACAAAAAAAAAATCTTACTGACCCAAGACATTTCAACTGTATGTATATAGTACTTGTTATTTGGTTCATTTTGTATAAATATGAATGTAAAACCTGAAAAAGTATGTGTACATTTGATTCTATATATGTACTGTAAAATTTACATTCTCTCTACATTAACAGCAGCCTTTATAGAAAATGCAAAGATTATTTCTGATATGTGAACACGTTGTAACATAAAAAAAAACTGTACATATCGTTTTAAATGAACACGGGTCCTTAAGTGCACAAACAAGAACAATGTTTCAAACTGAGCCCCAAAAGCGGGAATAAAGCTTTCGAATGAACACAGACCAGAACACCAGATGTCATTAACAGGCCCAATACTCCAATAATAGCCCAATTCTTGGAACAAACTACTATGTTTGTCACGCTTAATGAGGATAAAGCTACTACTGACGCAAACGTGTAAACCTTATTATCTCTTGAATGTATTAACCATGTGGACAGTGACCTTCTCAGGAACACTACAAAAGTAGCAGATATGGAAAATAAATACAGTGTCTTATCCTAAAGTTTCCCAGTTGGGGGTCAAAGGATTCGTACGTTGTTTGTCTACTAAACCGCTTGACCCTCTGAAAGCTGCCGTTACTTTCCACTCGCCAACTGCGTCACTGGCTTCTTCGATAAGGTTAATATCCATTTCCAGTATGGATGACGAGCATTGAGGCCGTTTAGATGTGCTGCTCTACACCTTCACGTAATTTCATGGCGGTTATTTTTGCCCAAATGCAACTGTTTGTGTTCTTGTGAAATCTCATTTTAAGGTTTTATGCTTTCCAGGTGTAGTTTTGCCTCATATTTGTTTGTAAATGTCAGTCCATTGCATGTCAGAGTGGAGACGTTGTGTTTTTTGATCTCTCTTTTAGCATCAGAACCAGTTGATTTTAGGAGTGATGGGGGTGGATGTGTCTCTCGATGATATCAAAAGATTAACGCCCCGCTTCGCAGTGAGTACCACAAACACATACTATTTCAACTCGCATATATTCAGCATTTCATGAGGTTTGTGTTCCAGTCTAATATAAAAATACAAAATAAATGAAAGTAAAAAGAATAGTTGACCTAAAATGAATTTTCCGTCATTATTTACTCACCCTTCATTCATTTCAAACCCAAATTGTCCAAATCTGCTTTTCTTCTGTGAAACAAAAAAGATGATATGATGAATGTTCACACGTTTTTTGTTTGTTAGTTTGTTTTGTTTTGTTTTTTGACCAAAAAAATGTTAATGGCAAGCTCCAAAATAACAAAAAAGCATCATAAAAATAATCATACAAAAGTGGTGACATTTTTTTTTTTTAAAGTGGAAATTTCAGTCTTAATTTGCATGCAATCTTCACGTACACTGCTGTTCAAAAGTTTGAGCTCTGTAAGTTTTTTTTTCAAAGAAATTACTTTTATTCAGGAAGGACACATAATGGAAGCCCGTTTCTGCCGCTGAATAATTAGAAAAAAAAAAAAAAAAGTAATTGCGACTTTTCATCTCCCAATCCTGACTTTTTATCGCAATTGTGAGTTTGTATATGCAATTCTGACTTTTTACTTGCAATTGCGACCTTTTATCTAGTCAAAATTGCGTGATATATACTCTCAGTTGCAAGAAAAAAAGTCTGAATTGTGAGATAAAAAGTTGCATTTACCTTTTTTTATTTTTTTATTCAGTAGCTGTAATGGGCCTCCATATTAAGTTGATCAAAATTAACAAAAACATTTATAGTGTTACAAAATATTTTTCTTTTGAAATAAATGCTGTTCTGCTGAATATTCTATTCATTAAAGAATCCTGGGGGGAAAAGAGTACAACTATTTTCATATTTTTTGGGCACCAAATCAGCATATCAGAATGATTTCTGAAGGATCAAGTGACACTGAAGACTGGAGTTATGACTGCTGAAAATTCAGCTTTGCATCACAGGAATAAATGACTTTTTAAGATATGTTAAATGATAAAACAGTTATTTTAAATCGTAATAATATTTCACAGTTTTTACTGTGTTTTGATCAAATAAATGCATCCTTGGTGAACATAAGAGACTTCGAAAAACATAAAAAATCTTACCAACCGCAAACTTTTGAACAGCAGTGTAGAATAAAATCTGAAGTGTCAGTCGAGTCGCACCAGTTTGATGTCAAAGACGAGGCAGGCAAGAATTGTATGGCTTCAAAAGACAGTGTATAGCGCCTGAGTTACATGCACTCATTTTAGGGTGCTTTTATGGTACTTTATTCTCAGATTTGGTGCTTGACAGCCCTATTTGCTTTCATTGCATGAGGAAAAAACCTTGAGAAGAAAGAAAATCTGGTTTTGGGATGACGTGAGGGCGCGTAAACGGCGACGAGTTTTCATTTAGGGTGAACTATTCCTTGAACGCTACATAATTCAATTTATAAGAGAACAAAGCTAAGCTCATGTGTTAGATGTTTTCTTTGCGGACTCTTTGAGTCGCTATAATAAGAATAACACGGCACGCATAAGATAAATGCGCTATTGTTCTGCGGTCTGCCATCTTGCGGTTTCGCCTCCTTACAGTAAGATCGCTCTTAAGAGGACGTAAGCCCTTGTACATTACATCTGTTTGTACTTACATTTGATTTGTAAATGGTTGTGATTTTCTGTTAAGCTCAGAGGAATGTTTCCAGATTAACCGACACATTTGATTAATGCTAAGTGCTCGGGGGGTGATTGACAGCTCGGGCCGGTGTTCTCAGGGGATATTAGACAGTACCCTGCTAGTGAGGGATTAACCGCCACATCTCGGAGGAACCAGGCCCATTCGGTCAAAGCCGGGATTTGGGTTTGATGGTGGTCTTCTTTTTCGAGGTGTCCTCACTGTTCTGCTCTTATTTCATTTCAGATTGGTCCTAATGGATATTATTTCGCAATTGATCCTAACGGTTACGTGCTGCTCCATCCAAACCTACAACCAAAGGTACCGAAGCATTTTCTCTACCCAAATACCTAAAATATGACATCACATCACATTTATGACGCAGAAAAAGGGTTTGAGGCTGTTTGTGGTGGGAAACCATGACATACTTGTTTAATACGTTTGTTTCTTGTTTGACATTGGTGTTATTTAACATCTGTAGTTCTTGTATCTCTCTCTCTTTATCACTATATCCCCCTCCCTTTTTGTCTGTGTATATGTGCTGCATATTTATGTTCATTCTCACCTACATGTGTGTGAGTGTGTGTGTGACTTTGAACAGCATGTACACGTGTGTTCATGTATGCATTTATATCAAGCATATGTTCAGTATTACAGAGGACCAAGTTTAAGTTACGAATCTGCCATTGAAATTCCCAATTGATGAACCGCTGTTCTGAATATTGTCCCTCTCAACTTGGATGGCGTATTGGATATGGCATGGATGAACAGGTTGTAAGGGAATGAAATCCATTCAAAATGTTGCACTAAATCGTATCTAATTTTACTGTTTTTAAAGCTGTCCAAATTGATCAAAAGACAAATTTTGATTTTTTTAAAGGGTTCATATGATGCTGCTAAAAAGAACATTATTTTGTGTATTTGGTGTAATGAAATGTGTTTATGCGGTTTAAGGTTAAAAAAACACATTATTTTCCACACTGTGCATTGTTGTTCCCTCTCAGTCGGTCACTCTCGACGTCACGTCGGCCCCTCACCATACTGTGATGCCCTGTCTGGCGGGAGCGACGAGACAAAAACATTAAAACCCATTATAAACGAGGCATTTGTTGCATCCAGTGGGGACGAATTATAATGACATATACTTTACGTGTATATGTCTTTTTACGTGTTGCATCGCACCGCGTAAACATAAAACCCTGTCTGCATTTGTGATCGGAGAAATGACAAACAACAAGCGCTACTCTACACTGCTCAAAACTCGCGTTTGAATCATCAGTCGCAAATTCTTTAATATAAAAAACGTGCTTACAGTCTGAGAGTCAGAACATTGTAGTCTACTCTACCAGGATCAGGAAACAATCCTCCATAAAATGTGCTGCACACATCTGAATATTTGGTTTGAACTGTTTTGGAACAGTGTTGTAAATACAACTTAACCACTGATTTCTAGTCGTGTCCTCTTTTGGAAG